CCTGTTTTACAGAAGTGGAAAAGCACATTGTTGATCAATATAGGCTAAACTGCACAACCTTATAAAGGGATAACCAACCAGTGATAGAATAGAAAGTGTGAATGGAAAATACAGTAGAGCTGCTTTAAAAATCTTCAGAGACACATATAACAGTGCTTTTTGGAATCACGTTGGTGATTCTCATTCCAAAACATAGTGAAAGATGTTAAACTTATTACAGGATGCCAACTGAATAGCCAGTTTTTGGAAAACTTTGTTTCTAGATTGGAGTTAACTATTTCTGCCTCCTGCATCCCACCAAAATTGCTGTCATGATGCTAATCTAGCTACACAGACTGAGGTATGAGAATCACATTTTTCTAACTGAAAAGCAATTTCACTACACAAATGTATTTGAAGATGATGTTGAATAAGAGAACTGGCATCTTAGCCAATATCTTTTATGTTCTTAAACTAAATTTGAAACATCTGTGGAAAAACAAAGATAGTTATTATTTTAAAGGCATTTTTATGGCACTCAGGTCTTGAAACTGTATGATCTGGCTGCTATATACTCTCAATTTTGTTGCAACTTATTGTAGGGAACATTATTATTAAAGGCATTTGCAAGAAAAACTTACAAATATTATTTTACCTCCTGTCTCTGTCTCAAACTTTTAATCATTACTTTCCAAAAGAGAAGTGAAAAGCATTAAAGAAAAATAATCAGATAAGACAAGCATTCATTTACAAAATCCTGAAATAATATTTAATTTTGGTTTTAACATGTATATAAATACTTTGATACTCCTCCCTTCTAGAGGTAGAGGTTAATTCCCTCCTCTTGACTGTGGGCTGTACTTAATGACTCACTGCTAACTGACAGAGTAAGGCTGATGGAATGGTGTGTGACTCTGGGTCCAGGACATAAAACACACTGCAGCTTCCATCTTGGGTGTTCCCTCTCTTGGATCACTTGCTTTGGGAGAAGCCAACTACCTAGTCATTAGCCATATTATGGAAAAATCCACACGGCGAGGTACTCAGGCCTCCTGGGACCATCCAAGAAGGAACTGAGCCCTCTTCCAACAGCCATATGCGTGAGCCATGTCTCCTCTGAATCCTTCTATCCCAGTCAAGCCATCAGATGATGCAGCCCTGGGTGACAGCTTGACTGCAATCTTGCGAGACACCATGAGCCAGAAGGACTCAGGTAAACCTCTCCTGGATTCTTGCCCCTGGGAAACTCTGGGAGACAATACACATTTGTTGTTTAGAGCTGCTAAGTTTTGGGCAATTTGTTATGCTGCGGCACATAACTAACGCAGTGCCAAAAGAGAGAGTGAATTATTGCACTTTAATTTTCATTTGCTCTAAGTGAATTATAAAATGTCAAAATATCATTTGGTTTTAAGATTTAAGGAGAACTTCCATGGCTAATAGGATTTATTTTATTATGACTCACAACAATCTATTTACTTGAACTTTAATTTCCAATTGTGACTCAATTAAACACAAAAAGAAGACCTAGGCCATGCTAGGCTGATTCTATGATGGTCCACAACAACCACCTGCTAGCTATTCACCTTTCTCCCAGTGATTCAATCAAACACTAATATAGATGCTGCTGTGAAGGGATTTTGCAGATGGATCTAAGGTCTCAAATCAGTTGACTTTAAGACACGGGGATTATCCTGGGTTGGACTGTCTTAATCAAGTAAGCCCTGATGAGGGGTTCTTCCTGAGGAAAGATATTCAAAGAGTGAGAGGGATTCAATGTGAGGGATTTTCTCCATTGCAGGCTTTGAAAATGGAGGAACCACATGGCAAAGAATGCTGATGGCCACTAGGTATTGAGACCAGCCCTCCCCCAGCTCCTTACTGACAGTTGTGAAGGAAACAGGGAGCTCAGTCCCACAACTGGAAAAAATTGAATTCTGTTAACAGTCTGTATATAAGCTTGGAGGAGGATACTGAGCTCAAGATGAGAACATAGTTTTGTGAAACCCTGAACAGAGAACCCATCTGCACTATGTCGGGATTTCTTTCTTTTTTCTTTATTTATTGAAGTAACACTGGCTTATAACATTATGTAAATTTCAGGTGTACATCATTATATTTCAGCTTCTGTATAGACCACACTGTGTTCATCACCAAAAGTCTGGGTGCCATCCATCACAGCACACGTGTCCCTTTACCTCTTTGGCGCTCCCCCTCCCTCTTCCCTTCTTTTAACCCTGAAACTATAAAACTCCCAAAAGAAAACATAGGCAATATGCTCTTTGACATTGGTCTTAGCAGTATCTTTTTAAATATCTCTTCAGGCAAGGGAAACAAAAGAAAAAATAAACAAATGGGACTACATCAAACTAAAAAGCTTCTGCACAGCAAAGGAAACCATCAATAAAACAAAAAGACAACCCACCAACTGAGAGAAAATATTTGCAAATCATCTAACTGATAAGGAATTAATATCCAAAATATATAAAGAACTCATACAACTGAACAACAAAAAACAAACCACCTGATCAAAAAAATGGACAGAGGATATGAACAGACATTTTTCCAAAGAAGATATACAAATGATCAACAGGCACATGAAAAGATGTTCAACATCACTAATTATTAGGGAAATGCAAAGCAAATCTACAATGAGATATCACCTTACACCTGTCATAATGGCTATTAGAATGACAAGAAATAAGAAGTGTTGGAGAGGATGTGGAGAAAAAGGAACCTTCATACACTGCTAGTCAGAATGAAAACTGATGCAGCCACTATGGAAAACAGTATGGAGATTTCTCAAAAAAATTAAAAATAGAAATACCATGTGCCTAGATATCTGACTAAGGAACTGTAAACAAATAAACAGGTGTTGTTTCGAGCCACTAAGTCATGCTAATTTGTTATTCAGTAACAGAAACTAATACACAGGCTCACTGTGCAACAGATAGGCACATAGCATTTTTTCCATGGGAATGAATTTATGAATTAGTATGAATGTAATAAAATCTTTCCTAACTTTTTTTTGTATTTTTCATTTTTATTTTACATAATGCAGTTAAATTTTTTAAAATCATATTTCATTCATTCATTCAACAACTAATTTAATGCCTACTACGTACCAGGAGTGGCTTTATATATTGAGGATACAACTTTAACCTAAACAGCTCAAAGCCCATGTGCTCATGTGCCTTACATTTTAGAGGCTTCCCAAGAGTGAGATGGAGACATTGGAGCATTTTAAGTGAAGAAATGACACATCCTGACTCACATTAACGAAATCACTGACCACAGTGAGTAGAATAATTTATGAACTGCAGCGCTGGTGCCACAATTCAGGAGTGAGAGGGTGGTGGAGACTAAGGGGAGACGAGGGCCTGAGGGGTGAGAGGACAGAGAGAAGGGCTGGAGGAGCAGGGGTGGGGAAAAGAAACAGGTAAAGAATTCTAAAGCAGTGGAATTCTCAGATCTAAACATACATACTGTTTTATTGATCTTTAATAAATATATCTACAGACCTAGTAGAGTATTCTTGGTATTTAATACATTCTTTGGAGCTGCCTAAAAACTAATTGCCTCCTTTTGTTAATCGGTTTAAAAACATGTGTCCTGATAAAATATGCACATTACTTAGATGTGAGTAACTGATAAAAATAGGCAATGAAGGAGCACTGGTGAAGGGCACTTTGACTGAGTTGAGCACTTTCATGTTTGAGGTGATTAATACACAGTAACAAACTGTGCTTCCATGTGCTCCTTTGTACTGAGGATAAGTCAGGGACTCAGACACACTCAGGGCTATGGAATGAAGATCATTTGAAAATGCAACAAACCTGAGTCACAGATATACTGTCTGGGAAAGTAAAACAGGGGCTTTGTGAGTCTGATTGCGGTGCTGTGCAGATATGTTTCTGTACGAAGGGGTCAAAATCACTTCTTTTACAGATTAGATTCCTGATGTTCGGAGGGATTTCAAGATTGTGTTACCCATTGGGGTTAACAAAAAGGAACCTGGTCTCCATGAGAACCTCTATCTGGTGTTTTCAGGCACAACTTCTCCGGGCTTACAGAGAAAACTCCTGTCCCTCCACCTCCATTCCCAGGGCGAGCTCACTCTCTGGCATCAAGTTCTCTGGGGCTGAGTATTTTTCTGCAAGAGTCCAGGAGTAGAGTTAAGAAGTAGGAGCACAGCTCAAGTAGGGGGAAGCCAGGAAGAGAAGAGGAGGAACAGGGGCTGAGCCCAGCCTGAGGATTTCTCCCCGGTTTCCTCAGACAGCCCCGGGGCCAGGACTCAGGGAGACGGTGTGACAAAGAGCTCTTGTTGCGAAAGGAGAGGGGTCAGAGAAAAGTCCCAGGTCCTGGAGTGTGGCTCTCAGGGTGTGGGGCCCGAGGGCAGTGTCTGGGGCGGGGAAGCTCAGTGTTGGGGAGTTCCCATCTCCCAGAGTTTCACTTCTCCCTCTCACAACCTGTGTCAGGTCTTTGTGCCTGAATTCTCCTGAAGATGCCCCAGTTCTCAATCCCATTGCGCGTCCGGTTTCTAGAGAAATCAATCAGCGCCACCGCGGTTGCCGGTAATAAAGTCTCCACTGACCCGCCAGGACTCAGATTCTCCTTAGACCATGAGGATGCAGGTCACGATGCCTCGACCCCTCCTCCTGCTGCTGCTCTCGGGGTCATGGTCCGGATCCAGACCTGGGCGGATGAGTGCAGCATCGGGAGGAAACCACCTCTGTGGCGGGCGGAGCGAGTGGACTGCGCGGTCTGGGCGCAGGACCCCCAAGGAAGGCGAGGCTCCGCGAACACCCGCCCAGACCACCCACCTCTGCCCGGGCCCATCCAGATCCCTCCCTTCTCCTGACGCCCTCTCTCCCCACACCTAAATCCCGGCCCTTCTCGGTTGGCCGGCCCTTTTCCATCTTACGAACTCCTCGTCTCCTCCCCGTTTTCGGCACCGGGACCCGCGCCGGGAGGAGGATCGGCCGGGTCTCAGCCCCTCCCCGCCCCCAGGCTCCCACTCCATGAGTTATTTCTACACCGCCGTGTCCCGGCCCGGCCGCGGGGAGCCCCGCTTCATCGCCGTCGGCTACATGGACTACACCCAGTTCGTGCGGTTCGACAGCGACGCCGCGAGTCCGAGGGTGGAGCCGTGGGCACCGTGGGTGGAGCGGGAGGGGCCTGAGTATTGGGAGCGACAGACGCGGAAGGTCAAGGGCCAGGCACAGATTTTCTGAGTCTGAACACCCTGCGTGGCTACTACAACCAGAGCGAGGCTGGTGAGCGAAGCGGGCCCGGGTCCAGGTCGCGACCCCCATCCCCACGGACGGGCCGGGGTCTCCCCGAGTCCAAGAGTCACCCCGAATGTGCGGGACCTGCCGGGCCCCTCCACTAGAGTAGAGACAACAGGGACTTTCACTGGGTTTCATGTTAGGTTTAGGTTTAATCACTGCCTAGTGGTCAGGGAGGGCGCAGGGCTGACCTTGGGGGCAGGGTTAGGGTCTCACACCCTCCCCTGGATGTATAGCTGCGACTTGGGCTGGACGGGCGTCTCCTCCGCGGGTACAGTCAGCCTACGACGGCGCCGATTACATCGCCCTGAACGAGGACCTGCGCTCCTGGACCGCGGCGGACACGGCGGCTCAGATCACCCGGCGCAAGTGGGAAGCGGCCGGTGTGGCGGAGCAGCACAGGGACTACCTGGAGGGCACGTGCGTGTTGTGTCTCCGCAGATACCTGGAGAACCGGAAGGAGACGCTCCCTCGCACAGGTACGCGGGACCGCGGGGCTTGTTCGATCTCGCATCAGGCTGAGGGTCTGCTACAAGGAGAGGAGGCAAATGAGAGGACACCAGAACACCCCTGTCCTGTGGGTAGGGAGACTGAGTCTGCCTGGGTTTTCAGATCTGGTACCAGAGAGCAACACACCCGAAGTGCCCACCATTCTCTCTGGACAATTAAGAGATTCAGTCTCTCTTGGAGATGGAGAGGAAAGCCATCCCTGAAAAAACTGATGAGCAGTTCCATTTGACTCTGGCAGTGGCTGTGGAAACCATGGGGGACTTTCTCTCTTAGGCCTTGTTCTCTGCCCCACACACAATGTGTTTGAAGTCTGACTCCAGTTCAAACTTCTTACTTTACCACTCAGAACCCCCCAAGACACATATGACCCACCACCCCATCTCAGACCTGGAGGTCCCCCTAAGGTGCTGAGCCCTGGGCTTATACCCAGGGGAGATCACCCTGACCTGGCAGGCTGATAGGGAGGACCTGACCCAGGACACAGAGCTTGTGGAGACCAGACCTGCAGGGGACGGGACCTTCCAGAAGTGGGCAGCTGTGGTGGTGCCTTCTGGAGAGGAGCAGAGATACACGTGCCATGTGCAGCACGAGGGCCTGCCTGAGCCCGTCACCCTGAGATGGGGTAAGGAGGGAGGCGTGGGCTCAGAGCCTCTTCTCAGGGAAATCAGGAGCCCTTCTGGAGACCTTCAGCAGGGTCAGGGCTGAAGCCTGGGGACCAGGGACTCACCTTCCCTTCTCTTCCCAGAACGGCTTCTTCAGGCCGCCAACCCCATCATGGGCATCACTGCTAATCAGATTTTCCCTCAAATTGTGACTGCTGTGCTAGCTGTGATGATTGGATCTATGATCTGGAAGAGGAGCTCAGGTAGGGTGGGCAGCGTGTCATGGGATCTTGTTCTTTTATCCATACAGCCATTCTATGTCTTTTGATTGGAGAATTTAATCAATTTCTGTTTAACATAATTATTGATAGGTAAAAACTTAACTGTTGTCATTTTGTTAATTGTTTTTCAGTTGTTTTGTAGAACATTGTTCCTTGTTTCTTATCATGCTGTCTTTTTTTCGTGTTTTGATATCTTTTTTTATCAGTATGCTTTTACTTCTTTATCATTTTTGTGTAATTGCCGCAGGTTTTCCCCTTGTGGTTACCATGAGATTTATATAAAATATCTTAAAACTATGACACCCTATTTTAAACTGACAACTTAACTTCAATAGAATTCCTAAGCTTTACACTTCTGCTTCTTCTTGACCTCAGATTTTACATTATCGTTATTGCAAGTTACATATATTTTACATTGTGTAAGTAATAACAGATTCTTGTAATTATGATTATTTTTACTGTTTATATTTTAACTTTTAAACTAAAGTTGTAAATGAATTATGCACCACCATTACCGTGTTACAGAGTCTAACTTTGACTGTACATTTGACATTACCAGTGAGTTTTACACTACCTTTTATATTATTGTACTAGGGTATTCCTAAAATATATTTTCGTTAAACACTAACGTAATCATTAAAGTTTTAATATCCTTCTTTTCCTAGTGATATTTTTCAATTACGTTTTTGTTTTCAGAGGGAAGGAATTTAGGGATATATCTCTTTAATGCATGGAGTAGGCTTCATATGACTACGGTACAGACAGAGTTATGGACAGATGGGTGTTTTACTGTATACTTCCTCATCACTTTTTAAATACCTGTCTCATGTATGCCTGCTTATTTGCATTTTATTCTGAAAAGGAGAGAAGGCCCAATGAAGGACAAAATCTTGATAGTGTTTACCCCAGATGATTTACCACTCTACTTCCTGTCATTGTATCATTTCCTATCTTAATTTCTTTTGTGCTAAGAGATGGGAGAATATAAAACAATATGGTCTCTGACTGATGAGATGTCCTTGGAACCTTGTGGTTCCAGTTCTCAGAAATATGGGTCAGTTTGAACCACAGAGTAGACTATGAAAGGGTTTCAAGTTTTTGTCCGCCTCCTTCCTGACATCGTGCTCTCATTTTTAATGAACTGGTTATTTCTCCCTTTTATTTTTCAGATAAGAGCGAACAGGAAAAAGACAAATCCAATTAATGTATTTCACTGTGTACCTAGTCACGGTTTCATCTGTTTCTTGTACTTTTGTTTTCAATTCTGTATGATCATATTCCTCAACTCCAACATATACATATTTTTTGTGATTTTGCGTTATCTTTCCAACTGAAGTCTGCCATCCTCATTTATTACTCAATTTCGCCCATTATTACCTGTTTTATTTCTCTTGTCAAGGCAATCAATGTAGAAGATCATTTCTGTGGCACGAATTTTTATTAATAATATACCTGTGGAGTTTTGGTATTTTTAAAGTTTCTGATGTCTAAGTTTTCTGCAAGGATCAGGTCATTTGATTTAGAATAGCTTTTCCTGCCACTAAATACTTCATTTCCCTTCCTTTCATGCAATTTAGTTAATATAATTGTCATTTAGGCTTGTGTTAAAATAAAACTCAGATAAAACAAGGTTATGTACTAATAGATTGAGGGGAATGTTGTAAATAGAAGCACCCAGGAAACTAACTCTGCATTTTCTCTTCAAGCAGTGGTTCAGTAATCTGAAAATCAATGTTTGTGGCTACCTTATACAACATAGTTACCACAATAATGAGAATTGACTATTAATATTTAGTAGCAGTCAAGAGCCTACCAAAACTAAGAAAATGTGTAGTAAAAACTTGAATAATGTCAAAAGGGATCAAGAATATTTTTTATGAGGTAACCACCAGAATTAATGTTTCTAAAATGTTTTGTGTTGCACTAAATTCATTCCAGTTCCCGTTTTCATTTTTGATAAAATATTCTCTGGAGAAAAGTGAGCTTTCAGCCACCACTATTGATGCATGTTTGTGAGTGAGTAAGTGTGTGTGTGTGTGTCCTTTTCTACATCCTGATGGGTTTGATTTTACATTTAAAATTTTGAATACATTTGAATTTTCTTCACGTTTGTTTCCCATGACATTTACATTAATCTTTCCATTTTATTTTTCAGAACGGCTTCAGAAAATATTTGGTAAGATATCTGTGACAATTCTTTACTCTTAAAACTATTTAAGTGACTGCTTTGTTGGTTTTTAGTGCTCCCTGCTGTTTTACCTACATGACATTCATTAGCTCGCCCTTCTCCTAGATGGCTACACTTCCCTCCTCCAGATTTTTGTTTATGAACGTCTTCCATATTATGTTCTCTCCATGTCTGTTTTTCTATCTTTCATCCATTCTCATTCCTTCTTTTTTCATTCCATACTGGTCCATCCCTGTAAACATGGGCTTCTTCCATCTTCTGGAGACTTGCCACAGTTGTATGTTGAAGAGATGAAGGGAATTAGGCTGCTAGGCATATGGTTTCCATTCTACATATATTTTCTGGGAAATGACTATTAATTTAGGACCTCTGTTGTGTATTTGAAGTAGGAGGGCACATTAAGATGCAATCAATTTTAGCTCAAACCTTAAGAAATGAGAGAACAGTCCTACCTTGCTGAATGAGGTTTCTCCCTCCATTGTCCTTTTAAAGTCTGTAAATTCTGTTGTCTCTTATATGGTCAAGTGTCAACTTCTGGCTCACTTTCCACTGCCCTTGAATGTCTCAACCAAGTGCTCTCAGGTATATAAATATTTTACATAATTTTTCCTATTTTTTCTTTCTAACTATAGTAAATATCATTTTACTTTTTCACTTTTATTGACACAATTATTTATTCTGAAAACTGCAGTTCCTTTTAAATGTCTATAGAGGAACTTTATGTATTAAGGAAAGTTCACTGATAATATATTTCTCAATTCAGAACATTTTAATCTATTGTTCTAGGATATTTCCAACAGTTTTTCATGAAACATTAATAGAATGATTAAATGTTCGACATCATCCTTTTCTAATGAGATGTTTCAATGATTTTTTTTCCGAGGGGATGGAGTTTAGGAATATACCTGCTAGAGATACAGTTTGGGGACAGTTGGATGCTTTTACTGTTGGCTTCCTCATCTCTCTTAAGCACCTGTCTTGTGTATTGGTGTGTATTTGCACTATATTTTGGAAAGGAAGAAGGCTCGATGCAAGGCCTATGATGGGTATTGTTTATCCCAAAGGTGGTCATGTCAGCCTCTGCTCATGGTTTCACCTCCTATTTGATTACTTTTGCAGCAAGGGCTGTATGGAAGTAGAACAACATTGCCTGTGATTGGTGAGATGGCTTTTGGAATCTTCTGGTTCCATTTCTCAGAAATATTGGTCAGTTTGAACTGTAGAGAAAAGTAGGGAAGTGATTCAAATTTTTATATTCTTTGCTCACTGACATGTGCCTTCATTTTGAATGAACTGGTTGTTTTTTCCTTTTGTTTCATCTATAAGTGTGAACAGGAGAAAACAAAAGTCCCATTCACGTATTTCACTGTGTGCCTAGTCATGGTTTCATCTTTTTCCTCTTTGTCTTCACCTATTGGTGATCATCATTCTCAACTCTAATATACGTACTTGTTTGCCTTATCTTTCTAAAAGAGCTTGCTGTTTTCTTTTTTAATTCATTTTCCCCTATTATTACTGGTGTGAATTTTCCTGTCATTTCAGTAATTGTCGACAGATCCTTTTTGTCAAGTATAATTTTATTAATCACATACCTCTGATGTTTTGGCATTTTCAAAGTGGCTAATGTGTAGGTTTTGTCTTAGATAACTCAAGTCATTTGATTTAGAACCCCCTTCACTGCCATTTAGTACTGTATTTCCCTTTACTTCGTGTGATTTAGTTAAGATAAGCCTCATTCAGGCAAGAGTTAGAATAGAAACTCTCATAAAACAAGGTTATGTATTAATAGATTGAGGGAAGTGTACTAAATCAAGGCACCCAAGACTAACCCTGTATTTTCTCTGCAAGCAGTGGTTCACTATTCTGTAAATCAGTGTTTGTGACTACTTTATACAACATAGTTACCACAATAATGAGAATTGACTATTTTATTTAGTAGCAGTCAAGAGATTACCAAAACTAACAAAATGAATAATAAAAACTTTAATAATGTCAAAGGGATCAAGAATATTTTTTATGAGGTAACCACCACAGCTAATATTTCTGAAATGTTTTGTATTGCCGTAAATTCATTCTGTTTCCCCTATTTTCATTGTTTGTAAAGTATTCTCTGGACAAAAGTGGCCTTTCAGCCACTGTTGATGCATATTTGTGAGTGAGTGAGTATGTGTTTCTGTGTGTATGTGTGTCCGTTTCTCCATCCTGATGGTTTTATTTTACATTTAAAATTTTTAAATTTGAATTTTCTTCACATTGGTTTCACATGATACTTACATTAATCTTCCCATTTTATTTTTCAGAACTTCATGAAAAAATTGGTAAGTTTCATCTGACAACCCTTTACTCCCATAACCATTTAAGTGGCTGCTGTCTTGGTCTTTAGTGTTCCCTGCCATTTTACCTACATGACATCCATTTCCTCACCTTCTCCTAGATATCTTCACTTCCCTCTCCTCAATTTTTGTTTATGAACTTCTTCCTTATTACATTCTCTCCATTTCTGTTTTTCTACCTTTCATCCATTCCCATTCCTTTTTGTTTTCATTCCATACTGGTCCGTTGCTGTAAACATGGGCTTCTTCCATCTTCCAGAGTCTTGCCATAGTTGTATGTTGAAGAGATGAGGGGAATTAGGCTGCTAGGCATATGGTTTCCATTCTACATATATTTTCTGGAAATGACTATTAATTTGGGACCTCTATTGTGTATTTGAAGTAGGATTGCACATTAAGATGCTATCAATTTAGCCCAAACCTTAAGAAATGAGAGAACAGTCCTACCTTACTGAATGAGGTTTCTCCCTCCGTTGTCCTTTGAAAGACTGTAAATTCTGTTGTCTCTTATCCGTCAGTTGAGAGCTCGTGGCCTACTTTCCACTGTCCTTGAACTTATTACCCAAGTGCTGCCTGGTATCCAAATATTTTACATAATTTTTCCTGCTTTTTTCCTTTCTAACCTTAGTAAATATTGTTATATTTTTGTAATTTATTGACATACTTAATAATTCTGAAAACTGCAATTCCTTTTAAATGTTTATAGAAGAACTTTATGTATTATGGAAAGTTCATTGATAATATATTTCTCAATTCAGAATATTTTAAGCTATTGTTCTAGATATTTCCAAAAATTTTTTCATAAAATATTAATGTAATGATTTAAAGTTGAACATCATCCTTTTGTAATGATGTTTTTCTCTTTTTTTTTTTGGTGAGGAAGATTGCCCCTGAGCTAACATGTATTGCCAATCATCCTCTTTTTGGTTCAGGAAGATTGTCACTGAGCAAACATCCATGCCAATCTTCTTCTGTTTTGTATGTTAGATGCTGTCACAGCATGGCCTGATGAGCAGTGTGTAGGTCTGTGCCTGGGATCTGAACCTGATAACCCCAGGCCGCAGAAGTGGAGCATATGAAGTTAACCACCATGCCACCAGGCCAGCCCCTCTAATGACCTTTTTCAATGATTTTTTTTTCAGAGGGAATAGATTTCAGGAATATACTTGCTAGAGATACAGTTGGGGGACAGATAGATGCTTTTACTGTTTGCACCCTCATCTCTCTTAAGCATCTGTATTGTGTATTGGTGTGTGTTTGCACTATATTTTGAAAAGGAAAAAGGCTCAATGCAAGACCAATGATGGATATTGTTTATCCCAAAAGAAGTCATATCAACATACTCTCATGGTTTCATTTCATATTTAGTACTTTTGCACCAGGGGCTGTATAGAGGTAGAACAACATTACCTGTGGTTGGTGAGGATGCTTTTGGAATCTTCTGGTTCCAGTCCTGAGAAATATTGCTCAGTTTGAACCATAGAGAAAACTAGGGAAGTGTTTCAAATTCTTATCTTCTTTGCTCACTGACATGTGCCTTCATTTTGAATGAATTGGTCATTTTATCATTTTGTTTCATCTGTAAGTGTGAACAGGAAAAAAGGCAAGTCCCATTCACATATTTCACTGTGTTCCTAGTCATAGTTTCATCTGTTTCTTCCCTGTCTTCAACTATTAATGATCATCATTCTCAACTCCAGTATACGTACATGTTCGCATGATTTGTCTCATTACCTTATCTTTCTAACAGACCGTGCTGTTTTCTTTTTCAATTCACTTTCTCCTATTATTCCTGCTGTGAATTTTCCTGTCATTTCAATAATTGTCAACAGATCCTTTTTGTCAAGTATAATTTTATTAATCATATACCTCTGATGTTGTGGCGTTCTCAAAGTGGCTAATCTGTCCATTTTATGTAAGATAACTCAAGTCGTTGGATTTAGAACCCCCTTCACTTCCAGTTAATACTTTATTTCCCTTCATTTCATGTGATTTAGTTAAGATAAGCTTCATTCAGCCTCAAGTTAAAATAGAAACTCACACAAAACTAGGTTTTATGTTAATGGGGGTCATGAAAATGTTGGGAATAGAGGGTCCAAGGAACCTAACCTAGATTTCCTCCTGGAATAGTGGTTCAGTATATTCTAAACCAGTGTTTTTGGTCACTATATACAACATAGCCACTGCAATAACCTGAATTGACTATATATATGTAACTGCAGTCAAGGAATTTATTAAAGTTAGCAAACTGCATAACAAATATGTAGATAATTTCAAAAAGAATCAAGAATAATTTTTTAAGCAAACCACCAGAATTAATATTTCTGAAGTTTCTTCTTAGACCTTTTACCCCTTTTAATTTATGAAGTATTTTCTCTGGACATAAAGAGACCCTTTAGTGACTGTTGGTGCATTTATATATGCTTCCCTGTGTGTGTGTGTGTGAGCTTATCTGTATTCTGATACATTTAAATTTACGTGTGTATTTTTCAATAAATTTGAATTTAATTTGAGTTTGTATTACCTAATATTTACATTGATCTTTCCATTTTATTTTTCAGAAGAACTTCAGAAAAATTTTGGTAAATTATCTCTGACAATTCTTTATTCCCATACCTCTTTAAAATGACTGCTCTCTTGATATGGTTCACATTCCCTGCCTTTTTACCTGTGTACCTTCCATTGGCCCATCCTTCTTTTGGGTGTCTACTATCCCCTGTCCAACTTTTTTGCTTACGGACCTCTCCTATGTTAAGGTTTTCCATCTCTGTCCCTTCCTTCCATTCTTTCCCCATTCCTTCTTTTCTTTTTTCCATCCCATATTTGTCCTTCCCTGTAAACATTGGCCTCTTCTGTCTTCCAGAGACTTGCCATAGTTTCATTAGGAATTTTGTGAGATGAAGAGGAGTAGGCTAATAGGCGTATGATTTCCACTCTCTATATATTGTGTTGAAAAAGTCCATTAATTTAGAACCTCCGTCACATATTACAAGTTCAAGGGGCCATTATATGCAATTGATATTTTCCAAACCTTAAGGGATGGGAAAATATTCCAAATTTGATGAGTGAAATTTCTCCCTCCATTGTCCTGTGAAAGACTGTAATTTTTGATAGCATTAGTGTGAGCTTGAGTCTCACTCTTTTGTTGCCCGTCATTATATTACCCAAGTGTTCCCAGGTACACAAATATTTTACATAATTTTTCTAGGCTTTTTGTTTCTACCTAGCTATAGCAAATGTTCTTTGTTCTTCCACATTCTTATACATACAATTATTAATTCTGCAAACTTTAATACCTTTTAAATGCTCGCAGAAGGATGTTCTATCTTAAGGAAAGTTCGTATATAATATAACTTCAATTCAGAATTTTTTATGTGAATGACATGAGAAGCTATTGTCCTAGGATGATTCCCAAAGAATTTTTCTAAAGCACTAATTCAATCATTAAACGTTTAACAACCTCCTTTTCTAATGGCACGTTTCAATTATATTTTTGCTTACAGATGGAATGGAATTCGGAAATATGTGTCTTTAATGTATGTAGCAGGCCTCATACAGCTACTGCTATAGATAGAGTTTTTGACTATCTGATGGGTATTTTACATAACAGGGGTACTTTTCCTGTAGATTTTTTCATCACATTTTAACTACCTATCTTGTGTATGTGTGTGTGCTGGTATTTTAGTCTGAAAAAGGTAGAAGGCTCAATGAACGAAGAATGTGTGATATTATTTATCCCAGAGTAAATCCTATTCTACCTCCTGTCATGCTTTCATTTCCTATCTTAATTCCTTTTGCACAAAGGAATGGAGGGAATTAAAATTACATTGCTTTTCTTTGCTTAAATGGTCTTTGGGAGCTTTTGGTTCCAATTCTTAGAAATAAGAATCGGTTTTAACAAAGGAGTAAACAATGGAAGGGTTTCAAAATATTGTCCTCCTCTTGACATTGTGCCTTCGTTTTTAATGAATTGGTCTTTCTTCTTCCTTTTTTTTTTTCAGATGAGTGTCAACAGGAAAAAGGCAAGTCTACTTACTGTATTTCATGTTGGACATGATCTTTGTCTATCTGTTTATTTTACCTTTGTCTTCAACTCTTAACGATTATCTTCCTCAACTCCAACATATATGTACTTTTACATAACTTTTTCTCATTATCTAATTTCTATTCCTACAGATTTGCCATAGTTTCATTATGAAGTGGGTGAGCATTAGGTTGATAGACACGTGGTTTCTATTCTATGTATACATTCCTTGAAAATTTCCAAACTTCGGAATTCTTTCATGTATTCTAAGTTTGAGGGCCTACTGGTGTGAAATTGATTCTTCCCGAAACCTTTAAAGATAAGAGAAGATGTCAAACATGCTGAGTGAAGTTTCTCCCTACACTGTCCTTTCAAAGACTGTGTGAACTCAGAGGTCATTCATTGGTCAAGAGTCACTCTTCTACTACCATGGGATATATTACCCAAGAGTTTCTGGGTATACAATTATTCTACATAACATTTTCTGGCTTTATAAAATTTTCGATCATAATGATTGTTCTTTATTCTTGTCCATATTTATTGACACACTATCAAATCAACAAACTACCATTCCTTTTAAATATTTCTAGAAGGATTTTTATCTTAAGGAAAGGTCAAATATAAATGTATCTCTTAGTTCTGAGTTTTTTATGTGAATGATTCATAAGACTGTTGTCCTGAGATGTTTCTGAAAGATTTCTTCATAAAACACTAATATAATCATTAGAACTTTCATGACCTCCTTTTCTAATGACACTTTGAATTCTATTTTTGTTTTCAGAGGGAACTGAATTTAGGAATACATCTCTTTAATGTATATAGCAGTTTTCATATGTTAAAAGATAACTGAGGCACATGAAGATTTCCAACAGTTTATCTGAGCACACATCAATTTGAATTGGGCAATACCAAACTGAAAGTTAGCTGGAATGCTCCACCAGCAGGAACTAGAGGCAAGGTTTTTATAAAGAAGATGAGGAAGCAACGCAAAGAAATGAGAGTAATCATATTCTCATTTCAGTCTATGTAGACAGATCTTTTCTGTCAAGTGTTTTATTAATAATATCCTTTGGAAGTTATGGTATTTTTAAAGTGACTGTCGTATTAGTTTTCGCTAAGATAGGCTCAGGTCATTTGATCAGAATCCACTCACCTGCCTTTTAATACTTAACTTTCCTCTCTTTATTTTACTTAGTACAGAAATAATGAGATTATTCTCACAGGAATGGATATGAGATAACTATATCTTCATCTTTTGAATTTGGAAAATTGGGTTAGAAGGCATCTAAATTCAGGAAAGTTATCATTTGAGAGACATGGATGAGTATTAATAGATGGTTAAGTCTAGAGAATAAGGAAAGATGGAAAAGGGACCGAGCAGTGGAATTGACACCATCAAAGAGGTTTCTTCAAAGAATGTAGGTCAAGTACATATGTAGTTTTATGTACATACTACATAAAATCTTGAGGCTATAAAGTGCAAGAATCCCCAAGATACTGGCGTTTTACAAACTGTGAGATCTAGAAATGATCTTATCCCTTGAAATTTACAACTAAGTTTTGTCAGGGACTTCAAGAAAGCCTAGAGGGGAGACTTTGGAAGATGGCAGTGTTGGAGGATCCTGAACTCACCTCCTCACATGGACACAACAAATCTACCACTGCCTGTAGAACAGTTTCCTCTGAGAGAGATCTGTAAACTGGATAATAAGCTCTGTAACTACAGACAACACAGACAGGTGGAAGAGGCAGTGATACAGCTGCATTGATGGAAAAACCACAACATTCCTATGGCGCATCACAGGCAGTAATGATCTCAAAAGTACAGATCTTCTCCAGAGGAGTGGGGGATCTTAGCTCCACATTAGGCATCCCAGCCCTTAGATTCAGCACAACAGAGATGAGATCTCATAATACTTGGCTTTGCTGGCTTTGAAAACTATTGGAGAATATGCACAGGAAAACTAAAAATCTTCAGAGAAATAAAAATCTGCTTGTAAATGGCCTATGCACAGATTCACCCAACCTAGAAACCAGCACAGAAACACCAGATAAAAATGTGTGTGGTCCATTATAAGAGAGACTCATTCACCAAGTTTGAAGCATATATTAGAGAGGCAGGAAGATCTGCTCCCACCCTACCCCCAAGACTGAGACATTGGCAACAGCTATTACTGTGACCTAGTTGAGTCATGCTGACACAGAGGCTGCCAGTTACCACTGGATTTCTTCCTCTAGCCTGTTACTTCAGGCATCTGCTATGCCCAGTGTAGCACCTGAGGCAATCCCATACAGCCAGGGAACAGGATGCCTGCCCCAGGGAGAAGTTCTGCACACCGGAAAGCCCCAAACTGTTGGACCTATGTCTGCAGGGCATGTGGGACCTGGGTAGCAGGACAAGTGGGTCCATGTCAGCAGGGTGCATGTGGGCCAGTGGAGGTGGGCAATGGAGCATGTTGAAGTAGACTTGTGCCACTGGCCATCACAAGCAGCCACACATTGGATCTTCCCTGCACTCCAGTGCTTGAAATATTTGTGCCCTGCCATGTGTGGGTTGGCTCCACCCATTTTCACTCTTTATGCACCTGTGTATTACAAGGCAGCATAGCCAAAGCTGGCTAGAGGCCTCCCCCACTCAAAAGAGAGCCACCAACAGCCACACACCACAGGGAACTGCACCAGAGATCTGTAGCAATTGTGAGCCCTTGAGCCTAGCAACCAGCTACTTTGGGGACCTGACTTATTTAATAGCCAAACAGCAGCAGTTGTGTGCTATTAGACCTTGCAGACAGATGTTCCAGAGGCTAGTCCCACCCAATAAAGTAAACGTAGCAGCCAAATGTGCCTGAGCCTCACAACCAACCAACTTGGGGACCAGCCTGGCCTACTGGTGTGCCCACAGCAATAGCAACCCAGCCATAACAGAAAGGCATGCTCAGCCCACACAGCAGACACTCCTGGAGCATTTGGCTTGAGTGACAAGAGGGGAGCACATTGTTGGACCCCATAAGTCGTCTCCTACATAAGGCCATGTTTCCAAGATCAGGAGATGTAGCTGATCTACCTAATACATAGATATAAGTGCTGAGAATTAGGCAAAATGAGACAAAGAAATATGTTCTCAATAAGGGAGGAGGGCAAATCCTCAGAAAAAGAACTAAATGAAATGGAGATAAACAATCTGCCTGATGAGGAATATAAACTAATAGTCATAAGGATGTTTACTGATCCTGGGAGAAGAATAGGTGAATACAGTGAGAGCTTCAAAAAATAATTGGAAAATATAAAAAAGAACCAATCAGAACTGAAGTCTACAATAATGGAAATTAAAAATTCACTAGAGGGAATCAACAACAGGCTAGATGACACAGAAGAATGGATCAGCAATCTGGATGAAAGAGTAGAGGCAATCACCCCAGCTGAACAGAAAAAAGAACTTAAAAGAATGAGGACAGTCTAAGAACCCTCTGGGACAACATCAAGAGTACTAACATCTGCTATTACAGCATTATTGACAATAACCAAGATATGGAAACAAGCTAAGTCCTCATCAACAGATGAATGGATAAAGAAGATGTGACATAAATATATATATATGAGATATATATATATATATAGATATATATATATATATATATGACTACTATTAAAAATGAGGAATAAGGAAATCCTGCCGTTTGCTATAACTTGGTTGGACCTCGAGAGCATTATGTATGACAAGTGAAATAAGTCAGGTAGAGAAAAACAAATACTGTATGATATCATTTGTATGTGGAATCTAAAAAGGACAAATCAGAGAAACACAAAGTAGAATTGTGGTTCCCAGGGGTTGAAGGGTGGGAGAAATGGGGAAATATTGCTCAAAGGGTACAAACTCCCAGTAATAATATGAACAAATTTGGGTATTTAATGTATAGCTCATAACACTGTATCATATACTTGAATGTTGCTAAGAGAGTCCATCTTAAAAGTTCTCACCATGAAAAATAAAATTATAACTATATGATGGGGTGGAAGTGGTAGCTAATACTTCTGTGGTAATCATTTTGCAATTTATAAATGTATCATATCAACATAATGTACACCTTAAACTTACACAATACTATGTGGCAATTATATCTCAATAAAGCTGGAAAGAAAAACGAAAGAAAAAACAAGAAATCTCCTCTTATTAAATGACTAGTCACAGAGGCTACATTTATGATTTTGGAAAACTCACAAAGGATAAAATCAAGTCCTTTTTTTTTGAAGTTTAAAACATGGTGCCAAATACAGTAATTAAAAATACTGGACCTAAGACATTACTAGCCTTGCTGGACCTAAAATAATTTATTTCTCTCTCTCTCTCTCTCTTTTTGTTTTTTGTTTTTATTTTTATAGAAATGCCTCCATGAGCTCACAGATAGACACACAAGGAATGTGTAAAATGTTCAGCAGCCTATATTTCACAGTACAAAACACCCACTTGGCCAAGACCAGTCCAACAACGGGGAAGGAGGCAAGGAAAGCCCAACCTTTAAAACATGATAGAGATGAAAATGTAATGCTTATTAATAAACCTGAGATTATGAGAACATTTTCCTAAAGACTACAAGTTGAGATAAAATAAAACTGCATACATGAATATACTGAGCTTTGCAGAATATTTAAAGTCAGAAACAATGAAAATAGCAGGAAAGATTTATGAAAATCAGGTAAGAGTGAAAACTTTGACCAGAAAATTCCTCCAGCATTGATTCATTAACTTACATACTAGAACGACATGTAAAGCTCACCATCCTCTAACTTTATCTAATAACAACACAAAAAATTAAAGTCTAGTTAATATAACATGTGTTAGGAACTCCAGACTGTCTTCTCCACGTGTATAAGATGGCTATACGTTTCATTTGGTATAATCATAGAGTAATGCCCTTCCATTTCTTCACAAATTAGTTCTTATTCTTGCGATCTCATTTCAAAGATTACACTTGCCTTATATATTCTTTAAAGTCAGAATATTTAAAAAATAAGGAAAATGAAATAACACAATCAAGATGGAATCAAAGGACTCTGTTATAGCTTTACCCAAAGATCAATTATACTTTAACTACCCTCATGATTTTTAGTTGCATCCAACCAGTTTTATGGGAGAGGCACCACAGTATCTTTATGTTACAGGCTCTTAACATCAGCCCTGATATCAGTTCCCCCACATTGAACCCAGCGTATATGGGGTTAAAACTAAAACCCACCGCCCCCTTTCCTGCTTCTCTAGCTCCACTCATATGGAAATACCTGTTTCTTTAAACTTGGACTCCTTGAGATTTACAACTAAATGGGAGTTACAAATTGTTAAAAGCCCAGGTGGCCTGGAGTTGGAGGCACACTAAAGTTTAGCTAATCACGTGACCTTGAGTTTGCCAGGGAAGCTGCTGTCTCAAGAGTATCAAGGAGCGGAGGCTTCCCAGACCTCAACTCCTCACTCCCGGCGCTCAAACCCGCCTCAAACAGGAAGAGAGACAAGAGACAAAGGCGAAGGACGCCCACCTGCCATCCTCCTATCTCACCCCCCCCCCACCCCCACCCCCCGCGCCTTGCTGCAAGCAGCCTCTCAAGGCCAAATGCAGGCTGGTGGGAAAACGCCAGCCTGCACAGCTACATGCGCCCCCTCCCCTCCCCAAAGCCCCAAATAAAAATCCCTACCCATTCCTCATCGGGGAGCTAGCAATTTTTGAGGCATGAGCCCTTGCTTTGCTCCCTGTGCCTGGCATAGTAAAAACCTTTCCTCTTCCACTCAAGACTCTGTTCTCATTATTTGGATTGGCATCGGGTTCAGAGACCGAACTTTCAGTTACATTTATACCCATGTAGATAATATGGATAAAGAATGCTCAATTAATTGTAGTAATAACTTTAATGAGAAGAACAAAGTTCAAAATATTTCCTGTCTTTTCCCTCTGTGGCTAGTGAGATAACAGAGTCCTTAAACAGTGCAATCTCTCTCACCTAACCTTGTCCTAAAGGCTCTGCATGAGCTGATAGATAAGGAATAGGAGGCACAGAGATGTCAGCCTAGGCCTGTGCTTCTTAATCCTGGGTGCACAGTATTATCACTTGAGAATATTTTTTAAATTACTGATTCAAAATCCTGACTTCTCTCCCCTCCTACAACCCCTGAGAAATTTCTATTTGACTAGTCTGAGGTGAAACCTTGGTGATGGCACTTTTTACAAAGCTCTTCAGGTGATGACTCTCACGGTTAATCAGAGTTGAGAACTGTTAATCTAGAAGTAGGGTTAATATTTCAACCCAGGTGAGTAAACAAATGGACTTTGATGCTATGCTTCATTATGCTTCATCACTTAGAATATGTATTTCTCAGGTATGAAATGAAGATTGGTACATAGCTGGTTAGCTGGCCAAAAATAAATTTGAA